TCTCTCTCTCTCTCTCTCTCTCCTCTCTCTCTCTTCTCTCTCTCCCCCTCCCCCTCTCTCTCTCTTTCTCATTTTTACTCTCGACGGAGAGAATTTTTCGAATTTTTCTCTGTTTGAATAATTACGCACAAGCGGCAATAAATCATGCGATTTTATCCGAGCAAACACTTATTCATCTCTTTTATTTTAAATCACGCTTCAAGTCATATCTGTCGACGAGCGACAAATGAAAAAGAAATGAGCGAGTATACGTCTACTTTTTCTACGTGTCCTTCCTATATCATTGTGACGAACGAGATCTTGAGTTACGTCATATAGACATATAGACATCCGCGTTCGGGGCAGAAGAGATATTTATTCAGAATTTCGTACATTTCGTATTATTTTATGAGACATTTATGACAAATACATCTTTTTGCTTCGCATTCGACGCTCGCGCGCATTTTACGTGCCGTGCAATTTTATTCCCCTCTTTCTCTTTCTTTCACTTTCATTCTCTTTATCTTGCTCTTTGTATTCTTAGACCGAACGATATATCAGGACTGCATATCTGCTGCCGATCATTTGAAAGTATCATGATACATCCGTCTTACACCCATCGTCTCGCTTCCCGCCTCCCTCATTCTTTATTTATCCGATTCGGATATCGGGGCATATTTTTATTTTTTCGCCGGAACGACGTTGCTCATCAATGACATCGTGTTGCCGTATCATGGGATCAGTTCATCTGAACCGATATAACTCTCACGCAGCGTATGAGCTGCGCAAATTTTACTTTGCATAAATTGCGAATGCATCGATGAATATGCGGCAGTAAAGTTGTTGGATAATTCGATTCTTATGTGCACTGTTTACTATTATACTATTATACTATAATATTATACTATTATTAACATAATAAAATTCATTACATAATTGTCACGTTTATACCACAAAAACCAAAGATTCATTCATCAGTATATAATTATTGTACTTTACGTCCCTCAGATGCATCTGGAAATTTGCGTCCGCGTTTGCGAAAATTTGCACAACAGAGAACTGTCGGGAGATCCGATTAAGCGTGAGGAAATTACAATCAGAATGTATGTTCGCAACTCGACTTTACTGCTGCTGAAGCATCATTGCAAGCCATGCGCAACACGTTTGTTCGTAGAGATAATTTAACTCCTGTAGAGAAATGTTCACGTAAAATGCACACATAGCGAGATGTATCACGCGCCACAAACATGGTATATATTACACACGCACACGGTCCTTTCATTCAATATTTTCATCCGCCAGGCAGGTCATCCGTCATCGTGTCCTTCTTCCACTCCTCTTGCTGTTCGTCTTTCGTTATCCACCCAATAAAACCGCGGTCAATAAAAGTGACAGTAAAATTGTGTTGTCATCCGTTTAAACCAGCCATCCTGTCCTCTCATTATCCGCACCCCGCTCTTCTATCGTGCGAAACTGTTATGACAAAGTGCATCTATCAAGGGCAATAAGTGACGAATGTCAAATCTAATCAGCCAACTGAACGAGCCGCCGACTACATAGTCGAAATACCGGTGCGACAAGTCGTTTATGTGTCATCGTGACAATTAGCAGCGATCTCGCGTTTCGCCTTTCGTCCGCTGGGCAAAACGCGGGGTACATTGAATGTATTTGCGTCCCAGAATGCATGCATTTCCTCTTGTCTTTCGACTAACAATCAGAGAAATACAAAAAAGATAGGTAGCTGTTTCAATAGTAGTTTTGCTACGGTCTTTTATGCGAAGAAAAACATTTAACACTTTTTTTTTAATTAACACAGTTTAATGGTAAAATTTTTTAATTGACAGAATTTATTTCTTCAATAGAATATTCTCTCAATAACATCTTTCCTAGCTCGCCACTCAAAATTCAAAGACATACTTTTCGCACGGGAGAAGGCGCGGCGCTGTGTCGAGCTTGAACCTTTTAAGTGTTCGCGCAATTTGCGGGAATATTGCGAGTAACACGCGTTCTTATATATCGAATGACCGATTACAGAGAGAGACAGGCACAAGCCAACACCGCCGCCGAAACCGGCCGCACTGGTGACCGGCCAATACGTATACAGGGATCTGGCTCTTACACCGGAGATGTATAATCAATTGAGAGGTCTGCAGAAGAAAGCGAAGGACCTCAGGCAGGAAGTGAGAAATCTCAGACGAATGTCGCAAGCACAAGCCCATACAGTGCGCGAGACTATTAAGGACACATTTATTACAATCAGGTATTGCAAATTGAGTGAAAGAATAAATTATTCTATTGTATATTTGGAAATATCAAGTTATTATACATTTATAATGTAAGATACATATGTGTGTATAATATGTGTGTATAATACATAGCGATAATAAAAAATTTTCAAAAACCGTATAAATGAATTCGAATACACTGTAGCTATTTCTAATAATTTGCATTAAGCTACATGTGCCGGTGATTATAAAAGTGCGCAAAATTGAATATTTTAACTTTTACGTTTGTATGTATCAAAAAATATTTTTTTTTTATTATATATTATTATATATATATATAATATTTTTATTATATATTTATATATATATTTTTATTATAACAAAATATGTTCTAAAATATTTACTTTTATAATGCACTCCTTTTCGACGATTGTAAAATAGTACGAGTAGCTTGTACGAAAATATATTAAATTTTATTGAAAAACAAGTTCAAAACAAACATATCTATTCACATTTTTTAAATTATAATTATGTTTTATTAATTTTTACTAGTAATTTAATTTTTTTTTCTTTTTTGATAAAATAGGATTTTCTCAGGACTCAAGTGCTTTAAAACATTTATAATATTATTTTATTATGTAAAATTTATTTATCTGAACCGCTAATTATATATTCAAACATTCAACATTTTCATTTTTCTAAAACAGAAATTTACAAGCGACTTAGACTACTGTCAAAATAAACATAAACTAAATTCGGTTTAACACAATTACCAAACACCATTAAGCGGGTCAATTTTTCAGTATTTTTTCAAAAATGACTCTACATAATTATAATATAGATCAGTGCTCGGAATTAGTCTGAATATTCAGTCGATTTCCGTGATATACGCCTCCTTTCCTCTCCTTACCGCGCGCGCCGCAGCCGCTAGGGCCAGCGGTGCCGCGCAGTAAGGAGAGGAGAGGAGGCGTATACCACGGAAATCGGCTGAAATGTTCAGACTAATTCCGAGCACTGATATAGATCAATGTAACACAAAGTAAATGATAAATTCAATTTTTCCAGTTGACTTACAAGGAAACCGCGCAAACCCGAAAATAATGTTGATGAAACTTTACACACATGTAGGTGGAGAGGGGAAGGGAGGGGTAAATAAATAAATTTAGAAATTTTTAGTTGCTGCTCAAAAATGATTCTAAGAGATGAAACCATCCCTCATAGTATTTAGAGCAACTTTTCGCTTTTCACAAAAATTATTCGAGATATAAAAAAATGTTTCATACAAAAGTTTTATGGTAAAAACATCTATTTAATCACATTAATAAAATTTTGAAAAAATGTTTAAAAAAAATTTTTTTGAAAAAATAATTTGTGAAAAAATTTTTTGATTTTTTTTAAATTTTACACCTTAGAATTGTTTTGGACAAAAACTGAAAATTTCTAAATTTATCTATTTACCCCCCCCCTCTACATGTGTGTAAAATTTCATCAAAATCAAAATTTTCGTGTTTGCAAGGTTCCCTTGTTTGTCAATTTTCATAATTATTGCCATATATGAAAGAAAAAATGAAGAATTATGATTTTTTTTAATATCAAGACGTAAATAATTTTACATAAGCAACAATCAAACTCAATCAACCGATAATATCTTAATAAAGGAAAAAAATACTAGTCAACATTGATCCAATCAATTATTGTCTCAGAGCTATGCTGTTATCGGGAGGTGACACAGCTTGGACGGCCGGTGACACGGAGAAGATCCGATTGAGCCGCGAAGAAGACCTCTACAAGCAGGAAATGATAAGGCTGGAAAAAGATCTGACGTGAGTATCGCTATTCTGCAACATGCCGCTAAAACCAGTCAAAGTTGTTAACGAAGCTGTTCGCAAATTTCAGCGAGCTGGAGAGCACTGTGGAGGAACTTCGCGGCAACGTGATCAATAGAAAGACGCGTGTCAATATGTCGGATGTGGAGAACATGGCTCTGATATTGAGTAAATCCAGGTAAGCCACATATATTCGATAGAGTCGATTCTATTTGAGCAAAATGCCGCTGTCACATCGCGCACATAAACGGAATAGCATTTTTTATGTCAATGTTGAACACGATCTTTTTATTAACAAAATAAAGTTTAGAAAAAGATGGCACTATTTAATATCATAGGTCAGACATTAATTATTGCGACTTTGTCTTCTAGCAAAACTGTGGCTGACTTGAAAGTACGATTCCCGAGCTTGCAAGAAGGTATGAAGGGTCTGCTTAGTTCCGAAATGGAAAAAGTGGTGCGCGAGGAAAAGTTCCTCAAGGAAGAACCCGAACGACTGGAGTCCGCGTTGAGACGTTGCAAAAAACTGACTGGCACACTCGTGACACTCAAGCGGTATATAACTTTTTATTATAAAAATATTATGCAATTAAAAATTTTATTAAAAATAACACGGTTCAACTGATAATAAAATTATATTGTAAAACAATAGGAGTAAAAGGAGCCAAACCGCTAGATTTCAGTGCGAACGAACTTGTATTGTGTTATAAAAATCTGTATTAATATACATAATATACAAACGTTTTAACTTGTCATCAGGCTATCCTCGGTGTAAAGTAAATAAATTAAATATGAAAACGCACGCTGATTGTTTACAATAAGATATGGTTTTAAACCAGATATAATTTATACGCAAGATTTGTTGCAGGATTAATGAAAATTGTTAACGTATTAAAACTGAAATCAAATTAAAAAACACAATCGTTATATTGATATTCCTTTTCGCAGAATAAAGAATTATACAAGTTAAACATACGTGATATAGTCCATAATAATGTTCGTCGAGATTTGTCAAATAAGAAATGAAAAAAAAAAAAAAAAGATAAGTTACTAGTTTAAGAGTCAGATTGTTAATGTTTATTAACAAAAAAGATAAGTTACTAGTTTAAGAGTCAAATTGTTAATGTTGATTAAGAGAACAAAAAGATAAGTTACTAGCTTAACAGCCAGATTGTTAATTAACATTAATGTTGAATCCGACTCTTAAACTAGTAACTTATCTTGTTGTTCTTTTCCATTTCTTATTTGACAAATCGACGAACATTATTATGGACTAAATCACGTATGTACAATTTGTATAATTCTTTATTCTGCGGAAAAGAATATCAATATAACAATTGTGTTTTTCAATTTGATTTCAGTTTTAATACGTTAACAATTTTCATTAATCCTGCAACAAATTTTGTGTATAAATTATATTTGGTTTAAGATCATATGTTATTGTAAATGATCAGCGTGCGTTTTCATATTTAATTTAGTTACTTGACACTGAGGATAGCTTGATGACAGGTGGAAAGATTTGTATATTATGTACATATATTAATATATTAATTTTTATAACACAATACAAGTTTGTTTGCACTAAAATCTAGCGGTTTAGCTCTTTTTGCTCCTATCGTTTTATAAAAATTTTATGACTAAAGATTAAAATGATCAAAAATGTTCACAGATGTTTAGACAAAATTAGGTTTTAATTTAAAATTGCGATATACTTATTTATTCAACTTATGAAACTATAAATGTTAGGCTTATTGAATTCGATACAATTCGGGACAATTACAATTCCTTGGTGTGGTTTTTTTAATCATTTGCAAAATTTTCAATTTACAATGTGATCTAAAATCAGCTGTCGACAAATTATGATAAACAAACAAATTAAGAATTTCAATTAATTCAATTTTCTTTTTCACTTCAGCTTGGCGTCGGTGCAAGAGCAGCGATTGCCAAATGCAGCGAGCGTAGACGCCGAGGATACGCCACCAATAACACCAACATCAGCACAGCATTCCAAGGTAACCGCTCCATTA